CCAGTGAAATATATTTATGTTTGTGGTTGTAATGTGACAAAATATGGAAAAGTTCAAGGGGTATGAATACTTTTGCAAACCACTGTATGTCTGCCATTCTGTCGTTCTGTCTGTGGGCAATATTACTCAAAAAACTTGTGGACGGATTGTCATGACATTTTTACCACATGTGTGTACTGGCTCACGTAACACACCTTTAAATTTTAGTGATGTTCTGGATCACGATGCGGATACAGGAATTTTTTTCTTTTAACACTGAGATCGGCAAAGCTGTGATGCTTTCACGGGGCATGGGTTTCAAAGTGTCCAGCAGGTGGCACTGTAGTATTGTATGCCCCTTTGTAATTCTATTACAGGATGGGGGAAATTGGTCTTGGCGGAGGTTTGCACTCGCCGAGTGCTTCTAGTTTTCTATATTTTTCAACCAGTACAGATTTCTCGTATTTTCTTTGACGTTTTATGAACTATTATGTTACCGAATTTGCGATGGAACTACCAAATAAGGTCTGGACTTAACTACAATTTGGCTCAGACTCTGGCTCCAACATGTCAGGCTGGATGGACAAGTCTTTCCTTGTTGACATCTTTTAATTCTTTTTTAAAGAAAAATCTGCATTGCTATTTAGTCAGAAACCTTTCTATCAAACCAGAATGGATCAGTCTGGGAGCTGGAGAGGGGATGGGGTGAAAAGTGCCTCATTTGGATTTAAAGAGACAGCCTCAAAATGAGTTAATCTGAGACATTTCAGAAAAGAGGTGGGGCTTGGGGAGTTATAATAAGGAGGAGGTCAGTTCCACTTTGTATAGACCCCAAAGGATTTAAAAGCGGAAAAAGAAGGATTTAAAAACATGACATCTACTTTAAGCATGAAAGAAGTAATTATAGCTAAAGTTTTTAGGAAAATCTAAACTGGAACACACAACAAGTTAGTCAGCAGCTGATAATTATTTACATTGTTTGATAACAACAATGTCCTGTTTATTTACATGAAAGGGGCGGGGCTTAATTTTCTACTTGCTTTGTTTTCACTTCTCCCCTTCGGTTCAGTCTTTTGGTTTTGTTTTACACCAACCACAACTTATGTACAATAACTACTGTCCTGCTTGTTCCTACAAGTTTCTGTCTTTGTGTTGCAAAAATAAAGAATGGTAGTTCTGCAGAGAACGGCTTGTTCTTCTGTTGACTGAGCTCCTTTGCAGCCAGCATGAACCCGCTGCTCTGGTTTGAAGTGGCAAACTCAGAGCATCTCATGAACTAAACAACAGATTTCATGAGACTCTAAGAAAGTAATCATTGGATGAGCATCAACTGTTCAAGCCAACTTGATTTAAAAGAAATTTTTTTAAGATCCTGAGCTAAAATTTGATGCAATAGTCGCTCGAGACCTTGTAATTCTGCTGCAACCAATTCATCTAAACCTCTTATTTTTCAACATAGTTTTAAACTTTAAAAATCTTTAATTCCTGCAGAGGTTACCATGTTTACCGGTCGACAGGCTCTCACAGATGTTCCTGTTTTGTTTTCGTTCTCTCGCAGGAAGATTCAACTCTGGAATACGCCTTTTGTCATTCACTGAACACAACGTGGGTAAGTTTTGCACCAGTCCTCAAATCCCTTTGTTCTGTTTAGGAAAAGTCAAAGAAGAAAAAGGTGGGAGGTTAATGGCACCAGATGGTCACGTGCTCCATCCAGCTGTTCAGCTCATGTGGTAYCTTTTTGTTTTGATCTCAGCTCCCCATTCAGCTGAAATTGCAGTCATTATGTGACAGGACTACAGCGCCTCAAACGCCTCCGCTGGGAGTCGCAGGGGTTCTGCCTTTGTTGGAATCCCCTTTTAGTCTTTGTGTGCATATTCCCCCAAGTGTGGTTGTTCGATCCGTTCCCAGGTTTTGGGTTCCTGTGACTCAGCAGGCTCTCCTCCCTCGGTCTTCTCTCAAATAGCTGAGTTTCTTTTCTAACCAGAGCAGAACAATAATCCTGGAAACGATAAGCATCGCTTTCCCCTATCTGTTACACAAATGTGCTGAAATGTCCTGGCTCGAAAGCTTTGCTTTGTAATTAACCCCGTGCATCTCTTTGTGGTAAGTTTTTGTTGTGGACCAAACTCAGGATGCTCAGTGTCGGGGTTCACCGGTCCAGTCTGGAGGTTCAGTWGTGTTTTTGATCTTTTATGATGGCACTAACTCAGAATGATGATTACTGACAATTTCACCATGTAAGGCTGCGTTCTTCAATCTGCATGAAATTTCCTGTCTCTTGTTTGGATTGGATTTTTTTCACCCTCCGACCATCGCGGTGAAATGAAGTCATGCAGCAAGACTGGAAGAGATTTTCCTTGAGTTTTAAAGACACGCCGAAGACATTTAGCCGAGAMTCGTCGTTCTTCTCTGTCGCCACGTCTCGATAAGACGTTGGCTTCGCACGGAGTCGGTTCTGACTTTGCTCAGCTGTCGGCCCGACTCCACGAGGCAGGTGATGAAGAGGCTGCAAGCTCTCTGCCCCCTCCTCCTCGGGGCCCAGACGAGATTTCACTGCTGACACATGGAAAGCAATTACACCGTCTTATCTGATTCTGACTTCATCTAAAGCTCCATCCATGTCAAACCTGCTTTTCAGAAGCAGGGCCCTGAAAGTATGCACTCAAGGAATTAAAGCAAAAAAATGTATTTTTTATAAAACGTTCCTGCTTTTCCAAGTGAGGCTTAAACCAATACATTTATTATTATTACTGTCATGTTAGGTCTGGATTGATGTTTAAGCCTCATTTGTCTTGCCTGGTACGTTGGCAGAAAATAAATAATCAAGCAATMTCTGGAAAAATATAAAAATATCTGCTCTCTGTGGGAAAGAACGTGGGCTGAACAGTTAGAAAAGCAAGATATCCAGCAGACAAACTTGTGTTTGACTGGTTGCTCAGCGACTCCGGTCCAGTATCAGAACYAGCTAATGCACTAAAAACATACCAAAAGGACTGGCCTAACAAAAAAATCCATTTTTATTGCCTTCCATCAATGGAAAAAAGGGTGATGATGATTCTCACGGACCACTGAATGGTTCATGAGAAAGTTTTTACTGAATGTGGTGATWGCATTTTGTGGTAAACCCACTTCAAGGTGGCTAACAACAAATTGAGCTTAAACTCTGAAACRTCTACCTCAATCACTTCAACATATATCGAGTTTAAGTCTGATGAATAGTAGCAGAGAGTCATTCTTTATACATAGTGTGAGCTCTAACAAGTCTCATGAAATCTCACCATTTCTAATGAGGCCAAAAAGGCTATAAATCTGTCATTTCTCTTCATAATATGGTTTTTACTTAATGCTCTGGAGTAAAAAGGTGGTGGAAGATWTGCATCCTGTTAGAAAGAGGCGAAGTAAGTGTTTACAGTTACTTGAGTAACTTTTTGGAAAAATATAATTAAAATTATTTATTATTATTATTATTATTATATTGCTACTCTTGAGTAAAATTTCAAACTACACAAGAACTTCACTAAGAGACCTTTTGTTCATATACCGTGTATATTTTATATACRCACAGGTTTGTTTTTATATCCCTGTGGGGACCGTGGATTGACTTCTATTCATATTTTTGGTAATTTTATAGCCTAACTCTGATCATTTACCCTAAAATTAACCTCACAGTTATGTACCTGACCCTAAAACTAACCTAAACTCAATTCACACCGTGGTCCTAAACTGATTCCCCCACCTGAAATTAGTGTCAGTACCCGTGGGGGCCGGGCATTGGTCCCTACAATGCACATTCAGTCCCTACGAGACTAACTTTTTCTGAAAAATGGTTCCAAAGATGTAGCAAAAACAGCCCCCCCCCACACACACACACACATACTGACTGCAAGTATTTCATAAAGATAAATTTAAATAAATTTTCTTGTTGGAAGTATTTCTATTTGTAATTATGTTATTTACTTGTAATAATTTTCTTAATTTTATTCTTTAAAATAGCTGAATTTGCATACACCTTTCTATTTTTTTTGTCAGGCTGATGACATCATTTTAACTTATTAAATCACGTGTTATGATCAGTTACTCATTGCTCAAGTAGCCTCTTTAGAAAATACCTTTTTACTCTTACACGAGTACAACTTTTGGGTACTTTACCCACCTCTGCTGTTAAAGAATATCAGGCTTTTATTTTGACTCGTCCTCTTTGCTTTTCTTCAGACGACCTCGACAACACAAACACAAGTTGCTGTGAGATGCTGAAGGCTGAACTTCACCTGYTTCCTGAAGAAGCCACAATGAACTCATCCACTCACCAGAAAGTATGGGTCTCATCTAAACCCCATCGATCTCCTCAGATTGTACATCACATGCTTTCCCTATGGCTAACACATGCACTTTTAATCTTTGTAAAAATGAATGGGGTGGCTGCCACTCAGGAGGTGGAGGGTGGATGACCTCCGGGGTCAATCCCCAGCTTTACCACTTCACTTGTCTGAGTGTTCTTGAATAATAAAAAAAGTAACATTTCTCAGTAACGTGTTCTTCTCATGTTGGRTATTTGAATAAAAGTTCTACAAACTGAAACATTCAGACTAAAAATGCTCAGAAACTTTTGTTTTCTACAGCAACCGTTAATGCGCTCCTGCAGCCTCGGAGACACAACCGCTCAACCCACCACTCCTCAGGCTCTGATGCGGTCTGCAGATCAGTGCAAGGAGAGGAAAAAGATCTGTCGACAGCGACGTATAACACTTGGTGAGTGGAGTGTTGATTTATGGAAAACTGCTCCTCTGATGTGACTCAAGCGTTGTGTCCTTTTTTTTTTTTTTGCAGCATCATATATTCCCCAATCCATGGATCAAATAGGAAACAACACAGAGAAGGTACTGAAAACTGTCTCCGATAATCCTGAGGTGGCACACCAAAACCACAACAGAATTTCAGTATTTAAAAAGTTTTAACTTGAAACATGCTCCATGCTTACGAAGAATTCTGTACAACCAGCATGTCTGCAGCTTCTTTGTTCTTCCAGGATGTAAACAGGCAGGAGGCCAAATCTCTCTGTGAGCTGAACACAGAAGGAGTCTGTCAGTGGTTTACCAGGATCGGACTACAAAAATGTCTGCCTTTCATCAGAGGTAAACGTACTTTAAATGTCTCATCGCCRATATTAGTTATAAAATACCATTGCTTTATGTTTTAGTCTATTACTGAAAGATTCTAAAAGCATGGTCACTGAGGTAGTCTAAAAGATCCTTGGTGGAAGGGCACCAGGGTTGTAGGAGATTCACCTGAGATGCTGAAGTCTCTGGAYGTTGTGGGGCTGTCACGTCTCTTCAACATCGCATGGAGGACTGGGACAACTCCTGTGGAGTGGCAGACTCGGGTGGTGGTTCCCATTTTTAAAAAGGGAGACCAAATAGTTTGTTCTAACTATCGTTCAACACTTCTCRGCCTCCCCTGGAAAGTTTACTCAAGGGTGTTGGAAGGGAGGCTCCRATCGAYTGTCAARCCTCGGATTCAAGAGAAGCAGTGTGGCTTCCGTYTTGRTCGTGGAACARTGGACCAGATCTTTAACCTTGCAGAGTTGCTAAGAGGGTCGTRGGAGTTTGCGTCCCCAGTCTACACCTGTTTTGTGGACCTGGATAAGTCTTATGACCMTTTTCCTTGATGCATTGACTTATCCAGTATCTTTATGCATTGACTTATCTTTATGACCAAACAGGAGCTGTGTTYGCATTCTTAGCACAAGGTCACAGTCGTTCTCAGTGCRRGTTGGACTCCACCAGAGCTGTCCCTGGTCTCTGAGCCTGTCTGTGGTGGATCAGGATCTCAAGGCACAGTTGTTGAGAGGAGGATGTCTGGTTTGCTGTATGCAGATGATGTGGKTGTCYTCAGGCCAAGAMCACCAATGTRCAATGTGGCAGTTGGCAACTAGGATGAAGGTTAGTTCCTCTAAAGCTTGGTTTATAGTTGATACATTTAACGGTGCAAGGGAGCACACGCCAAAAGTGACGCAATTGCACTATCCCTGCCCCTGTGCGCTGGCCAAGCGCAGTGTCTTGGCACTTCCAAATTTCTGTAACTCTACGAAGGCTGCGTGCGCTGCGTACCATTCAGTTTGTTTGCTTGTCAAGGTTTTGCTCTCCTATTTAAAACATCTCACAAGTTATAAAGTGTAATGCCACATGTCCTTTTGAAAAACAACAATGTAAGCATCACACCTCCACCACTGCGAGGGTGCACTCACACCCTGCGTGAATACAAAAAGCGCGACCAAGGGTATACCCAAGCCTTAAATCTAAGGCCATAATTTTCAACCGGTAGAATGCCCAMACCRGGTTGAGGGTGAGGGTGAGTGGAGGAGTTTAAGTATCTGGGTGTCTTGTTCACGAGTGACGGCAGAATGGAGTGGGAGTTGGATCAACAAATTAGGGTCTCGTCCTCAGTAATGAGGGCAATGCTTCAGTCGATTGTGGTGAAGAAAAATCTGAGTCCAAAGGCACAGTTCTCGATTTACTGATCTATCTACCTCTATCTAACCTTTAACTATGGTCATGAGGCGTGGATCATGATTGAAAGAATGAGATCCTGGATAMAATCGGCCAWACGTAGGATGGCCAGGCTCAGCCTGATGAGGATGAGGACTTTGGAGCAGAGCCTCTGACTCCTTTTGATGCTCCTCTGCATCAAAAAGAATTAGTTGAGGTGGTTCATCTGGATAGGATGCCTCCTGGAYGTCTCCCTTKAGAGGTGTTCCGGGCACCTCCCACYGGTAGGAGGCCCCGGGAAAACCCAGGACTCTCTGTAACAGATTTTGAATGGCTCAGAATTTTTAGACCAAACTAACTTCAAATCCATTTTTTCTTYACAGAGGCTAAACTGTGTGGAGGTGACATCGCCTCAGTGGATGCAAACATTTTGGACATCCTCCATGTTGTCACCGTGGAGGACAGGGAGCAGTTACTGTCAGCCATTTATAACGAGCTTCACCCTCCCAGCACCATGACTCAGACACTCGACTCTTTGCTCGGTATCAACCTTCGTTTAACATCACTCGTTAATAAACGCAGATAGTTTACAGATGTTTCTTTTTTTTAATCCAGAGTCTAATAGCGTGGAGACATTTACTTCTACTTTGGCCTCCCTGACTCAGTCCAGGTCCTCGCCACACGTAAGCTGCTTGAGTAGGAATCAACGTTCTTTCAAGCTCAGGTAAAGCTGATATGGTCTAAATCTAAGATATAAAACAGACGTAAAGGAACATGTAGCAAAAGCATCAAGTTCATTTCAGGATAGTCAGCAAACAAGAGTTCCAAGAGTTTCTATTCTTGATTTCACAACTTGATTTCTCATAAAAAAAACCTTTGGTTTCACGAGAATAAATCTAAACAATGAATGTCAGATGTGATGATCCCAAAACAACGCTGCAGGCTGACACGTTCAGCACAGCCAGCCCATGTCCCAGCATGCCATTGTAAGAAGAAGACATTCATTAGTGTCCTACTGCATTTTTCTTAATTAGCCTCTTTGTTCTCTGAACGTCTTCCTGCAGTTGAGTACCAATCAGGAACAACCATAAAACCAAAAGACAAGCTGAATTTTATTTTACACAGAAACGGCAGCCAGAACCAGGTGGTGTCTCGGAGTTCCCACATGATAGAGATCACAGTTAACGGTGAGTGAGTGAAGTTGCCCGTATTTATTCAAACATTTAAAAAYACAAAAAAATAAAAATAAAATAAAATTCCGCAAAACACTGAAATTTGCTAATGAAGCTGAAAACGAGTTGGAAAATGAAACAAAATWATATAATCTAAAAAAGCAAAACAAATAATAAAGGGAGCACAATAGTAGCTAAATTTAAACGTAACTAAAGGATAGCTAGAACAAAAAAGATGAGGGCTAGATAAGTGGTTGAAAATTAGTTAAAGAATAGCTAAAAACTAAAAGCAGGAACATGTTAGCTAAAAGTAACAAAGGGCTAGCTAGAGGCTCTAGGTAGCTAACAGTTAGCTAGAGGCTAATAGTTGCTGAGAGAAACTAAAAGCCAAACAAAGCTAAAGGCTAACCTAAAGTTTAGAAAGCAGCTCAGGGATAGCTAAACCTAAAAGCAGGAAAATGTTAACCAAAAGTACCAAAAGCCTAGCTAAAAGCTAAACATGGCTAAATGCTAGCTATACTGTCAAAACAGCTAAAGGTTATTAAGATGTTCAAAGTAGCGAAGAGAAGTAGTGAACAGGAAAAGAACAGTGTGAATGCTGACTCAGCAGACATCTCACTAAACAAATTGTTCGCCTCCTAATGCTGTGTGCTTCTTATAATATTAATATTCTCTTTATCAGCTGAAGAAAACCCAGGCGTCTGACTGTCTTGTTACCATCCCATCCATGTTTTCTTGTAGCATCAGAACGAATCATTCATCTCAGAACTCCGAAGGAAATAACTGTGGGAAAACTCATGGATATGTGTATTAAAATGCTCGGAATGCCCGACGATCGGAGCTTTTACACATTGAAAGAAAAGCAAGGTGGCGTAATTAATATCCATCATATCGTGTTATTTTTTTAAATAATAAATGCGTAACGTTTTTTGTTTCCATTTAAAGATTCGCCAGATGATCTTTGTCCAGATCAGCAGATTGGGACGTTACTAACGTCAGAAAACAAACAACTGGAGCTCCACATGTGTAAAACGGTAMACAGCTTAGTAAATTTAAAACAATAAGAACAAACTATTAACAAAATTTTACAATGCAGGAGAAACGAATGAGTTCTGCTTCGCAAAATAGTCCCAAAACCTCCAGTGAGAAAAGTAACATGGATGGAAATGTCCTGGAGAACCAACCAGCCAAAGAAGACAGAATCAGGGAACTAAACCAACAGGTGGACTCGCTACAAAACGTCGTCCTGCGGGTACGTAGATGTACTCGTTAATTTGATTTCCAGGTGAATATTTGCATCTGAATCTGATTATTTTGCCTTCCAAAGATTCAGGAGCTCCACCACGGCCTGGTAGCTTTCTGCTCGGAGCTGAAGAACATGGACATGGACGTGCACCGGCTCGGTTCTGCTGAGCTGAAACAGAAACTGGAGACGGTCAACGGCCAACTGAAGGAGAAGAGGCAGAACCTGCAGATTCTCAGGGACACTTCCACACCTCACAAGAACAAGTCCGTGCAACGTTTCTGCAAACTGATTCACATCTCCAAATTTTGACTCYACGTGTCTTTTCCACTCAGGCAGCTGGAGGTCCAACTCTTGGAAAAGATGACTAAAAACTGCCAGGTGTTCCAGGAGGAAATCACCATCGTGCATCTCAATCGTCAGGCGGCTCATCTCCAAAACGCCTTGCAGGAAATCAGCTCGAAGGTACCGCAGATAAAATCGTCACYTTTCAGTGAGCGTTTGCATCGGAGCAGAAATCAGGATAAAAAGGCCTGCAGTGGAGTTTTTGATTGACAGTTACGCCAACATGTGGGAAAGCTGCACGGCCTGAGACGGAGAATGTTTTCCTTTCTAAAAATAAAACACGCAGAAGAAAAATGATATCAGGAACAAAACAGCTCCAGATACTGATAGAGGCATGTTTGATATGGACTAACACTTTGTTTATTTTTTGCTTTTTTTCCCCTGCCGCTACAGAAACAGCCAAGTCACTTGGTATTTTAGAAGATTGATGTCATGCTATCGAGCCACTTTTTCCTCAAAGATAATTAGAGACTTCACGAGTACAGAGGATTGTACAGAATGTGAAACTATTTGTTTACTCAGATCAGCAATTGTTAATCTAATTAAAGGCCTGTGTCCCGTGTCTCTTGCCGGCTTTCCCACCAGATTTTCAGACTAAAATCATTTTATGAGATACGGCYGAGCACATTCTCATGTCCGATGCCTTGTTCAGACGATGTGCTGAGAACTGACAGGTAACATTTATCTTGTGTCGCCAGTTACTTTTATATCAGGAAGGAGAAACAGACCCAAATATACTTTTCCTAAAAGTTACCACTACAGCACATGGAAGTCTCTGGGAGATAAACACGGAGTCTGCATCACAGTCAGTCGACCACCACGACATAATGATCGGCTTTAACAGAGATGATACCACAAGTAGCTCGCAGGAATCCAAAATAACTTGTGAGTCCGACCGCTAAATTCCAACGGTTCCTCATCCAGCCTCCTGGCATACTCTTGCCCCCCCACCCCACCCCCACATGGCGTGTGAATGCCTCGCAGCGATGGCTGCCGCCTCCTAGAGGTCAGGGGTCAAAGCTAAGGCATCTCTCTCTAGACAAGCGAGCCAGACAGGATATATCAGCGGAAACGCAGCCGAAGCCCTTGACGAGGGTCTAATATGCATCCCCCCCCCCAATGTCTTCGGTTTTGGATGCACGCCAGAGAGACGTTTTCTCTTCATATTCTGCTTGTTTACCCTGAAGTTAGGAACAAATCCTGGCCTACCTGGGCCAGACACGGGGTGCTTCTTGGAAATTCACGTGAAATTAAAATTCGAGCATTCTTTGAAGATGCTGGGCTRCTTCCACAGAAGATTTTAGCTCAATATTTATAAAATTAGATTAGCTGTGGCGGCCATCTTGTAATTGGTTATTCAGTTACAAACGTCCTACATCCATGAGATATTTTGCTGACAAACAGGTGAACTGTTAATGCCAACGTTTTAAGCAAAGGTGTTGAGCACTGAGTTGTCCTCAAACAAGGTGTTAGGGATGATGCTCTGCAACTACCCCATCAGATCAACATCAAACAGGCACATAAACAGACATTTATGAGTTTTAAACCTTCCATGCCTCGGCCCCCAAAAGAGCAATACTTTCTGCCCCACTCTGCAAATGCACAATACTGCAAAAATGAGTAAAGAAACTTTTATTCACTTTTCAGTAAGTAGAGAATTAGCATTTCCTGTGAAAAAGCAGTGTGAATGCTTCATGCCGAAAGATTTCTGCTGATATTTTTTAAAAATCTGAAACTATCCTAGAAAAGTAGCTGGAATAACTGGAATTAGCACAAAGAAAAAGAAAGCTCACAAAAAGGCGAATTCAGCTGAAAAAGCTTTTAAAAAGTGCTGAAATTAGCAGAAAGGAGCTGAAAGAAGCATAAAAAGCTTAAAATAACAAAGCAGCACAATTAGCAGAAGAATGATAAGCTAGCTAAAAAATGAAAAAGCTAAAATGGTTAAAATAGAAGCTGAAATTAGTATAAAGGAGTTAAAAAAGCAGAACTAGAACATAAAGTAAAAAGTACAGTCCAGATTTATGTCAGAAACAAACAGATATGTCAAAAAGTATAAATTGCTGATGTAGCAAAAGTCAGCTGGAATGTCTTGAAGAAGCTGAACATTTTGATATATAAATAGTTGAAATAGCAAAAAAAATGCGTAATTAGATATGTGTCGAATAAGGTACGAAAAAAATGATCTCACTAGTGTGACGATGATTTGCATTTACATATTTATTACATTTGTTTAACAGAATAATTTTAATAACTAATGAGTTTTAAACATTATTATATTTTTACTGAAAACTTTAACAACAAAAGAATAGAACAAAATAAATCAAACTTCTCTAAAACTCTGAAATAACAAATATATTATAAATTACATTTTTTAATGATTGAAAAACAGATTTGATTTAATGATGATTTAAAACATTTCTCAGATTTTATTTCTTTATTTATGTTTATTTTCTTATCTTCCTTCCAGTTTTCTGAGTCCCAACATGGTTTTAAACACATCTGGCAGTGGCGGCCATCTTCATATAGGTTGAGTCCAATAGTGAACTAGTTGTAAACCAACCTGATTATTACTTCCTGAGAGTTTTGTTACAATCTGAGCAGTGAGTCATGAGATATTCATCTTAAAATTAGAGTTGATTTTATTTACTAATGGCAAAGATTTTCAGTTAGCACTGTTTGGGATTCGATCAGCTGCTACCAYACCAAACTTTAACCCAGTAATTATAAAACTGACCAGGTTATAGTTAATTTTATGTTTGCTATGATCACTTATATCAGAAGTTAACCCAATAATTACTTTCAGAGATTTCAGTCATTTCTGTTCAATAATTTAGAAAACAAACAATGACGACGAACAACTCAAGCAAATCAAGTTCTGCTGCTTGAGATCAAAAGCAGCAGGAATCTTTCAGGGAAAATCAGAAAACATAAGATGCATGAGAGATAATCTGACTCCTCCGATCAGCCACAGTTTTTAATCTGACTGGAGTCATATCAGTTTCTCACAACAGGAGCTCGTCCTCAGAGGACACACGAGGCCGCCGATGATGAAATATTTCCTTTTTGTTTGTGATTCAGGGTCGGCCTGCGAGACCAAACACTGGGCGGCCCGGTCCTTATTTGAACAGCGGCTCTATCAGTTCCCAGACCGCTCCTCGGCTCTGACCTGCGTGTTAACTCTGATTAGGTCATATGATAAACATTAGTGCTGCTGCTTTTCCCACAAACTCAGCACCTAAAAAAGTGTGGCCTCGGGGTGGCAATGTGACACGGGGGCCACCGTTCAAAGCCGGAGCCGCGTGCGTCCTTTCATGGCATCTCGTTAGGGTTCCTCCAACGTGATAAAAGACCCACAATTAAAAAAGAAGAAAAAAAAGAAAAAATAAAGAGGTGAGCTCCTCTGAGGATAGATGGAGATAGTTTTACACACTGGCCCATTTCTCCTCTGCGCTTCTCTCTGTGGCTTTTGTCACTCACATTCCTTTGTTGGTCACAGGCTCTCAAATGTCAGCTCTAAACATCCTTTTCTCAGTAAACACTGTGTGTTCGGATAAATTACTTCACGCTTCTCCAGAAACTCGCTCCGACTAAATGGATACCTACACGGCTAAGAAAAACACTGAATACAGCATTTTGTAAATGTCTAGTCATTTTAAAAGAAGCTTAAGTGTGTTAAGAAGCTCTTAGTGTGCAAAAGATGATGTTCTTGTGTTTGTAATTTTTAACAGTTCTAACATCACCATTTCTCATATAAAATGATTTTTGTTTAAATATCTGATATGAAAGGCAGCAGGCGACATGCATCCATTAAAGGAATTCTACACCTTTTTCTTTTGTCTGCTAAAATGCTGCGAGCGCTGAGAGATGAGYGGCTTTGTTGGAATTTAATGAAGAAGCWGAAATTAAGTTATTAAAGCCTAAAGATGCAGAACACTAGCTAAAAGTAGCAAAAACTAAAAGTAGCASAACAGTCGCTAAAAGTAGCAAAAGGCTAGCAAAAGACTAAAAGTAGCATAAGGCTACCAAACACATAAAAGTAACAAAACATTTGTTAAAAGCTGAAATAGAGATGCAAACAATTAATCGACTTACAATTAATTGTCAAATAATGGTTTATTAGATTAAAATTCCTTCCATTCGATTAACTGAAAACATCCATTTAAGCCTTATTTCAGTGTAGTTTAGACTTCATCCAGTAGGGGGCGCCGCTGCTCTCAGCCTGGCCTACTCTACCCCAGCCCTGCGTTGAGCTGAGCAGAGAGCAGCGTCATAATTATAGGGGTGTAAGAAATTTCGATACACTGAAATATCGCGAGATTTCATTTCCTGATACTGTATCGATATTCTAAAGCCCTGTATCGATTTTTTTATTAAGGTTTAAAATGTCAACTTTCCTGCCAGCTGTTCATTTTTATATTGTAGTTCAGCCTCTGACCACTGGTTGGCAGCAGTGAGCCAGCCATTTGGCTCCTCTGCCTCTTGAGGCAGAGGCTATTGTTAAGTGTTGGGTGACCATATTGTAAATTAATATTAAAAACTTGAAAAAAATATATATTTTCAAACTATTTATTGTCAAATTTAGTCTAATAATTGAAATAACGGATGAAATATGAAATATGAAACAAATAAAAAAAAACACATACAAAGCAGAACACAGCTAAATGTATCAAAAGTATGTCTGTGTAATATTAGAATTTTCTGAGACAATGAACTTTGGTTTTTCATTTTTTCCCCTGTAAGAGGTTTTTATTTAATAGAATTTTTGGACAAAAAAAAATCGCAATATATCGGGATATATCGTATCGTGACCCCTCTGTCATGATATGTATCGTATCACCAAATTCTTGCCAATAGACAGCCCTACTCTTATTTAGGTGATGAGACAGAAAATAAAAGTCAATGAATTGTTATTTTTATAACGTGACCCATCATATCAAAATGAGGATTAAGTCAAATTAGGTCAAAATGACCTAATTACATTTTCAGATTCTTGTCTTTAAAAGCTACATTTTGACACCTGGATCATTCTGATATCATAATTAAATCCATATATATGACTTAATTTATTTTGTTGGTTACAATAATAC